TACCGTGCAGGCCCCGCCTGGGGGGCTGCTGATCATGTACCTAACCAAGGGCAAAGGGAGCATTGATGAAATCTTGTGTCCAGGACCCCAGATTTCTACCAGCACTGCTCCCTGCAGGTTGCTAGAGCAACCACTGGCAAGCGGGCAGTCCCACGCTTGCTTCCGTTTCATAGACGTGTTGGAGCTGGACAACTGTTGGATCAAAGAGGACTCATGCCTCATAACAATCCCCATGGCTGCAGAACTGTGTTGAAAAGAATGCTGAGGTCTCATCTCGTCTTGGCAGGAGAAAGTGTCGTTGGGGGAGGATGGGGTAGAGAGGTGTGCAGGTTTTGAGGTATACAGAAGTGGAAGCTGTGAAGGTTTGTCATCAGCATAGAAGACAGCATATAATAGTCAGGGACAGCATGAATGCTTGGATTTACCATTGCTGACCTTAGTTGACCCCTTTATCACAGAGTAACTGAGAATAAAAAGGAGACTGGAGTGATTTCCTCACTGTAATGAGTGGCACAGTTGGGACTAGAACCCCGCCAGGCCCCAGTGACATCCTGAGCCACAGACTAACCTGGTGTCATCTTTGCTTTTCCTTCTTTAAAATGAGGACCCCCCCCCCCCCCAACACCATCCAGGGTGGGAAAGGCCTGGAACTGTATGAGAGACTGACAGGAGCTGCTAGGAGAGGGCCAGGCAATCATAGCAACATGGAGTTGCACTGGGTGGCAGCTCTTCTCCCAGACACTCTGGACACGGGTGAAAACCCTCCTTTGTGCAGCTCCTCAGGGATGTGCCTGCCAAGTTTCACCCTCAGAGGCAAGAATGAGGAAATGGGGTAAAAGGGCTTGGCCCTAATCCCCACAGCCTAGTGTGGAGTCCAGAGGGAAGGCAGTGTTCGAGTGGAAGCTGCTTGAGTTAGAATCCCGTGAGCTCAGGCTAGTGCCCTCGGAGCCTGGTTCAGCAGGTACCTCCCTCAAAGGATTACAGGTGGGCACTTCCTAGACATCTGCTGATCAGACACACCACACGCGGGATCTTCTGCTTGGAACATTTCTACACTTTCCCTCCTGGACTAGAATGTGAGTTCCCTGAGGACAAAGACCACAGATTATTCGTCTGGGCATTCTCAGTGCCCAGCACTTACTGAAGTTATTTTTTTAAAGAATAAATAACTTAATGACTTCTGTCCCCCCACCTTCATTCATGACCACAATAAAGAGCTCCAGGAGACAAGACAAAAGAAACAAAATCCCAGTTTTCAACAGAGTGCCAAACCAAAATGCTAAATTTTTTCAAAGTACTATAATTCTGTTTTAAAAAACCAAGTCACCAGCACAGAGTTTGGGTTTTCAACACTAACATCAACTGCAAAAAGAAGAGACCCCCGAGAACAAACAGTGCCCAACAGGGAGAACTCACTATCTACACAGCCCACCACCTGCTCCCCCAAATTCCATCTGGTTAACAGAGTGGGTATCTGGCCAAGGATGTCACAGCTTTGCCTCATCGTGTGCCAGCAGCAGGCAGGTGAGAAAGCTGTGATGACCAGGATCTGGAAAATGGAGGAGACAGGACATTCTTACTGTCTTCCCCAGGGTGGGGCTGCCCTTCTTATGAAGAGTAGGGACTTGGGGTCACCTGAATGACCTATAATCTCATTATTCTCTTCTGACCTATCTGGTTCCCAATGTTATCTGCCATCTCATTCTCAAAAAACACTTGGGATGATTGTCATTGTTTCTTCAGGTCTATGTCTATATCGAGGACTATTAATAAAGCCACATCCTAGTTGTATGATCTTAGAAGAGTGTCTTTCCAGTTTCTTGAGCTTCAGTTATCTTGTCTGTAAAATGGGGATAACAATGACCAACCCCAATTGAGTTTAAAATTCCATAATATATCTGGAGAACTTAGCCCAATGCCTGCCACATAGTAGGTATAGAATGAATGAGAGCAGCTTTTACTGTAAGACCCAGAGAATGCAAAATTCTGAAAGGGGACTTTCAGGAACAAAAGGAAAGGACATTGGAGTATGTGGGAACTATTTGATAGAGCAGCAATTGTCAACCTTTATCATCTCACAGCACACGCAAACTAATTACTAAAATTCTGCAGCAGAATCTGGAACCTTGCACAAGGGGTAATAGCCTAGGGACCTCTGAAGTGTCTAGAATGTTTGCCACTCCCCCATGTTGTAATTTTCTCCTGCACCTTTTAAAAAATCCTCACCTGAGGACATATTTTTTTAATTGGTGTTAGAGAGAGGGAGGGAGGGAAAGAAAGAGGGCAGAGAGAAACATCAATTGGTTGTCTCCTATATGTACCCCAACCTGGGATCAAACCCGCAAACTAGGTATGTGCCCTGACCTGGAATCGAACCCGCAACCTTTTTGGTGTATGGGACGACACTCCAACCAATTGAGCCACTTTGCTGGGCTCTCTTGCACATTCTTACTTCATTTAGATCAGCTGTTCAATTCTTTAAATGAAAAAGGCCCAACGATATAGGGGAGTCTATTTTTTGGGGGAAAAGAAACTATAAAATATCAGGGAAAGACTTAGTAGAGGAGGGAAGAGCTTAGTTTGGGAGCCTCCAGGAATGAAGAGAAGGGCATTCAGAATGTTGAAATGAGAACAGGAGCTCCCTGGAGGCCTCACCACGCCTCAGACCTGAGCAGACTGTTCCTCATTCCCTCTCTGCTGCTCCCAGAGCTCTGGTCCACAGAGCAAACATCACAAACCACGCTGGTTTGGGAAATAGTCTGCTTGGACTCTGAGTAGTTCCATGGCCCTACCTGGTGTAACCTGACCCACATACCCAGTTACTAGGATATTTAGAGGGCACCTGCTTCTTTCTGTGACACCGCGGTTACCTTAAACCTCCTAAGACATGACTACAAAGGAGAGAATCCCAGCCTCTGGCTTCGGTCCATACAGGAACAAGTCAAATGGCCTGAATCTGGGTCAGAAAGGAAAGCTGCCATTCTCAGGCCGAGTGAGAACCGCCTGCCTGCCTGACAGTCCACATCCACAGGACAACGGCTCTCGACCCTGGCCTGCACATCGGAGTCACGTGGAGAGCTCTGAAAACACAGATTTTACTAAGTACTTCAGGGGTAACGCCTGGGGATATGTCGTTTCTAAAAGTGGCATAGGTGACTGAGATGTGAGGCCAAGGTTGAATCCAATGCTTTATGGAAGCATCATGTTTTGAATTCTGGAAATTAGTAGGGTTCCATACAAGGAGACAAGACGGTTATCCTTTTTTCCTAAGTGGCATCAGCAACAAGTCTGTTCCAGCTTCCCTGGCGCTCCGGGAGGAGGTGATCAATCAGGAGGCAGCTGCACTCAACTGCCTAACCTGCCCCAGCCTTTCCTCAGGGTCCCGAACACTGGAGATGCCTTCTTCATCAGCACCGAACTCAAGAAAAGGTGCACTTCCTACTGAAATCAGATACAGATGTAAGAGCGTTTTTGGAGCACCTGTTTTGTGGCAGGCCCTGTCCCAGACATAAATCACAAGCCCGCGAGAGAGGCACTACATCGTTCCTGTTTGGGTTGCAATTCTGGAAAAGGAGTGTTCATCAGAGCTTTACCAGCTCATCACAGCACAGTCCTCAGGGGAATATATTACTGATGATCAACATACAATTTGGGGTTTATTGGTGACTTATTGACTCATGAGCAACATACAGTTTGGGGTTTATTGACTCATGAGTCTTCTCAAAATTCTTTTGGTCTCAATACTCTAATGGTGGATGTGGCTAGGCTGAGGGAATGACCTTGAAATTTATCCGAGGTATATCCTCTCGGCTGTCGAAACAACTCTCATCTTTTTTTTTTTTTTAAGTAAAAATATGGGATGCTTCATGAATTTGTGTGCCATCCTGTTGCAGGGACCATGCTAATCGTCTCTGTATTATTCCAGCTGTAGTACATGTGCTGCTGAAGTGAGCACTCTAGTCTGTATTTTAATCATGAAAATAATTCCGTTTGCCTGTCCTCTGGAAAACAAGCAAACCATTTGCTGGGAATCAAAGAGTTGTAAACAAGGGACTGCAGGAGAGTACGTAGGTACTTTTTGGTGGAAAGCATTAGATTGACCTCAGCTGATTGGCACTATGAGCTATGACTGTATTGTCTCCATTTTTAAAGATAATGAAACCAAGGCTCAGAGAACCTTAGTTACTTGCCGAACACACAGCTAGGACAGGGAGGGCAAGAATTTGACCCCAGGTTGTCTGGTTTACAGGTCAGTGCTTTCACTGTATCTCCTCTACAGTGACCCCACTAGCCCTTTTGGATAGCTAAACAGAAGATATTTTAGGTTTGGTTCCAGATCATGTAACAAGACCAGTATAGCAATAAAGCGAGTCATAATCTTATTGCGGGTATAGGGTCCTGCCTAATTCGCAAAACACAAAGTGCAATAAAGCGCAGCACCATAAAACGAGGTATACCTCTAGTTACTTATGGGCAGATTTATAATGGTTGAAAATTCATATACTGTTTTTATTAGTCACATGCAAAAATCATTTATTAAGATCTAATAGAATTTTAGGAGGACATAATTATAAAAGTAATGAGGGCTCAGAGGGGCTGAGTGACTTGTCTAAGGTCAAACAGGTCTTGGCTCCAAAGCAGGAGCATTTGTAAGTAAAGGCACACAGCACGAGACCAGGTGTCAGAAGCCATGGATTCCTGCCTCTGTTCCAATGGGTATTAGTATAGCACTTTGGACAAGTCCCTTGTCCTTTGTAAAATGGAAACAGTGATCTCTGACCTACTGTATTAAGAAGTGAAGATCCAAATGGATGTAAAAGTATTCTGAACACCCCCTCCAAAAAATAACAGAAGGAAAGAACTTGGGTGGGTCGGTCAGTCCAACTGGATTCAAATTTCAACTCTGCCACTTATCGGATGTGTGACTTTGAGCAAGTGATTTTACCTCTCTGATGCCTCAGTTTTCTCATCTGAAAAATGGGGCTACATCAAGTACCTACCCCAGAGGTGGTTGTGACGATTTACACAGGGATTGCCCGACATATACAGCACTCCATCAATAACGTCAGCCACTATCACAGTTATACTTGTGCCTCTCGGATCTTCAACTTCTTCGAAACGCGGTCTTTCTGAGCTACCAAACATACCCTGGGCTCCAGCTTCGGTCCTATTACTCTCTACCTTCTTCCTCGGACCCTGTCTCTCCCTTCCCAGTCTCCCTTCTGCACAGCCCGTCGGAAACCCCTACAAGAATCCCAGTCCTCGGCCCCGTTTCGGCGCGGTCTCTTACTCGACGACCTTGGCCGGGTGCCCGTGGTGGCCGTAGACCAGCGCCCGGACCCGGGAGCTCTCGGCAGACGCGGAGCAGGAGGCGGCAGCGGGCGGGCGGAAGCCCGAGGCAGGGAGCAGCCTCCGCCGCAGCAGGGCCGGGGTCCGCGCCTCCCACAGCGCGCAGACCCACATGCTCACCGCAGGGATCCCAGAGCCGGACGTCCCGGAGACGTCAACTTCCCGCGACCGCGCGCCAGCCCCGCCCCCGCCCCGTCTCGTAACCACGCCCCTCGCTCCTTTTAAAGGGCCATCTCCTTCTTCCGCTGCCCGCACGGTGGCGCCTGGTGAGATTGCGAGGGGAGCTAGGGACGCGCGGTGCGGGGACCTGCGGGAGTCGCGGAGATTTCGAGCCCGCCAAAGTTGATCTCCCAAGCAGCGTCCGAGGCTGGTCTAAAGCTATGTCTGCAGTCTGCAATTGTTGTTTGATTTTGGGGAAGACATTTCCCCTCCCCCGACCTCAGTTTCTCCTCCCCACCATTTATTTATGTATTTACTTATTCATTCATTCATTTATTTAAAATTTTTGTTATTGATTTCAGAGAGGAAAGGAGAGGGAGAGCTAGTAACATCAATGATGAGAGAGAATCATTCATTGATCGGCTGCCTCCTTCATGCCCCACACTGGGGATCCAGCCTTTAACCCCCGGGCATATGCCCTGACCGGGAATGGAACCGTGACCTCCTGGTTCATAGGTCCATGCTCTGTCACTGAGCCACGCGGGCTGGGCCCCACCATTTATTATCGAGTGCTCACTGTGCCAGGCCATTTAAGGCATTATCTCATTTAATCCCCACTATCTTCTCATAGCATAGGAAGGCAAAGCTTACTTCCCTTCACTGAGTACATGTAAGCTGCTGTGGAGGCAAGAATACTGGGTTTGGAGTTAGAAGATTTAGGTTCAAATCCCAGCCCTGCCACTTCCTAGCTTAGGCAAGTGACTGAAACTCGGAGCCTTTCCTCATAGGTATAAGGGGGAGAATATTCCTATTTTAAGATTATTGTGAGGGCTCTGGCCATTGTGGCTCAGTTGGCTAGGCATCCTGCTGTGCACTAAAAGGTTTCTGGTTCGATTCCCTATCAGGGCACATGTCTGCGTTGCAGGGCTTGATCCTGGCAATGCAGGAGGCAGCTGATCAATGTTTCGCTCTCACATAGATGTTTCTCTCTCTCTCTCTCTCTCTCTCTCTCTCTCTCTCTCTCTCTCTCCCTCTCATTCTCTCTCTAAAAACCAATAAAAGTATTTTAAAAAAGATTGTTGTGAGGATTGGATGAAACAATAGAATAATGTTTAATGGACAGGAGAGCACCTTGTAAAATGCTAAGTGTGTTCAGGTATAAGGGAAGGATCACAAGGAGGAGGGCCCCCTCTAAAAATGCTCAGAGTAGCCCTGACCGGTTTGGCTCAGTGGATAGAGCGTTGGCCTGGGGACTGAAGGGTCCTGGGTTCGATTCCAGTCAAGGGCAGGTACCTTGGTTGGGGCACATCCCCAGTAGCGGGTGTGCAGGAGGCAGCTGGTTGATGTTTCTCTCTCATTGATGTTTCTAACTCTCTGTCCCTCTCCCTTCCTCTCTATAAAAACATCAATAAAGCCGAAACCGGTTTGGCTCAGTGGATAGAGCGTCGGCCTGCGGACTGAAAGGTCCCAGGTTCGATTCCGGTCAAGGGCATGTACCTTGGTTGCGGGCACATCCCCAGTGGGAGGTGTGCAGGAGGCAGCTGATCGATGTTTCTCTCTCATCGATGTTTCTAACTCTCTATCTCTCTCCTTTCCTCTCTGTAAAAAATCAGTAAAATATATAAAAAAAAATCAATAAAAATATATTTAAAAAATAAATAAAAATGCTCAGTGTAGAAAGGAATTAAATGGGACAAAGTTCTTTGTAAAAAGATGTAGCCCAATAAAGACACTAGATCATATTTTTCACATTTCTGGTGGAGTGGAGACATGAGCATACCTAAAACCCAGTCGACTGTTAACGTGAGAGAGGACACAGGTGGAGTCAAGGAGACATGTCTGGGATGGGGGCAGGGTGGGGTATCTTGGAGAAGGTGCTGATGAAGCCAGTCCTGTGACTCCAAATCTTCAATATGCCTAAAAACCACCTGAGGTTTCATCTTAGACCTACTGAATTAGAATCTTGGGGAGGGGTCCAGAAACGTACATTTCTTACAAGCTCTTAAGAATATTCGGACACAGGTGGCCCAGGAAACAGGCTTCGAGAAACACCGAGGCAGGTCTGTGAGGGATAAGAGTTCATTTCTTTGGGTTTTATTGACCTGAAGCTTTTTAACTCAGAGTCTTTCCTCTGAGGAAGAGAAGAAAGCTAAGTGCTGTGATGAAGGGTGCAGGGCTGGATTCTGGCAAATCTGGACTGAGTCCTGGCTCAGCCACTTTCTAAAACCACTTCAAAGTGATTTTGGACAAGTCACTTGGCCTCTCTGTGTCTCCATTTCCTTATCCTTGAAATGAAGGAAATAATAGTGTCTGTTTCAAGGCTGTTGTGAGGATCAAGTGAGATATTATTCACTTCACTTGAAGCACTTAGTACAAGAATGCTTGGCACATGAGAGCATTGGATGAATATTATTGGGGCGTTATTGTGAAGACTAAATGAGAAATGTCACATGTAAAACACGCAGACTATGGTTTGGCCCATAGGTCATGCTGACAAAGTGTTTGTACTTGCTTTTATTATAGAGAAAGTTGGTGTCCCATCATGGGGGAAACCCTTGGTCCCCCACAGCGCATTCTCTCTCTCTCTCTCTCTCTCTCTCTCTCTCTCTCTCTCTCTCTCTCTCTCTCCCACTCACACACACAATACCCAGTCTTGCTTATCTTCTGTTTTCACAGTGACACACAGGTCGATGTCTGTTGTAAGACTCCCTAGGTGACTTTGAGCTGTTGACATTATCTTCTCTACCAAATTAGTTCCTCTGAATTATGGACAGCCCAGCCAGGAAGCCGGGAAAATCACCCAGCAGGTCTCTCTCCTTGGAGCTGGACTCAGGCCCCATCCATCCTGATAGTCATCACGTTTGGTTCAGGCCATTGGCTCTTGTTTGAACGGTGTCAGCAGCCTTCTTTCTAACAGCGATCCCCTCTCTTCTTTCTGCCTCCCCAACTCCTTTAGGGGGAACCAGAAGCTACAGTTCTTTGTAAAACACCATGAACTATTGATATATTAAACTTTAAATTGTAAACAAAGCTCTGATTCTATGCTAATTCTAGCATTCTCTCACACTACTGACACATACTAAAATCTTCAGAAAAATGTATGTGGGAAAAAACCTTAAAACAACAACAAAAAATTATATTCATTATAATTAATCTACCTTCTTGCAAATTAGAAAAATATGACTCGTTTTAATTCAATGGTAAACCCCCCCAACTTGGCTTGAGGAACACCTGGGTTCCTCAAGGGGCAAGTTTGAAAACCATTGCTCTCTAGGAGTTCAAGTCCAATTGTTCCGGGCTCACATTCAAGACCTTTGCACTAGGTCTCCCAGACTGTCTTATCTCCAGCTATTGGACCATGCACAGCCCATGATCCACCCGTACCTGATACCCACCTTTCCCAGAACTTCCATGTCTCGGGCCTTCATTCAACCTGCTCCTCCTGCTTGATATGCTCTTCCCTGCCCTGCCTACCTGGGAAACTCCAGGCTCACATATAATTTCTCTGATGTTATTTTCCAAAGCCCTAGGTTGAGTCAACTCCTGCTGCCTTTGTGTTTTCTCTGGACAGGTGTTGCCGCCTTTAGTCTCTTATTTATGTATGTGCCCATTTCCCCCTCCAGGCAAGAGTGGAACTCTGTTTTGTGTATCTCCCTGATGCCAGCACCCAACATGGGGCCTGGCACGGGGCAGGTGTCATAAATATTCCATGAGTTGAAAGTAATTGAATTTCCTCATGGCCTGGCCCTGCCTGTGGTGCCGTCTCCTTTACCTTAGATTTGGGTCACTCCGGGGCAGGACTTTTCTTGTTCTTCCCTCTTCTCTCTAGGATTATAGAAGTTTGTGGTCTTTTTCAAGTGAAGCAGAATGTTCTCTTTTCATTTGTCCACCTGTTGCTTGTGTTCTTTCTGCTTCCATCACGGTCTCTGCCCTGTAGGCTTCCCCTGCACCGAGAGTGGAGGGGTGTGGCATCAGTCAGGTCTAGGTTTGAATCCCGGGCCCACTATTGACTAGCCATGTGACCTTTGGCGAGTACCTGATGCTCTCTGAGTAGTGCTTTTCTGGGTATTGCTTTCTGTCTCTCTCTGCTCCAGTTTCTCTCTCTCTCCATTTCTTCCCCATCTCCCTTTTCTTGCTTCTATCTTACTCCCCGTGACTCTCTATCCGGTTAATTCTCTGTCTCTGGTCCTTGCCTATTGTCTTTTTGGCCACCTCCTGGCTCACAAGGGAAGAGACCAAGAGCCCAGGAGTCCTCAGTCCTGCCTCTCCTGCAGGCCACAGAAACCTCAATTGTGCCAACATCCGTGCCGAGCCAGCAGGGAGCAGAGGCAGTGCACAGGAAGGCCTGGATACACCTTGAACCGCTAGGCTCTGTTCAATGTCACTGCCCACTGGTTAGACCCATCTGCCCAGGCCCAGGGGTCTCTGCTTCCTCAGTCTGCTTTCCATTTGGCTGATCAGGGGACTTATTACTATTATTATTATTATTTTAAGAGATTATTATTGATTTCAGAGAGGAAGGGAGAGGGAGAGATAGAAACATCAATGATGAGAATCATTGATCAGCTGCCTCCTGCATGCTCCCTACTGGGGATCAAGCCTACAACCTGGGTATGTGCCCTTGACTGGAATCGAACCTGAGACCCTTCGGTCCACTCTATCCACTGAGCCAAACTGGCTAGGGCTATTATTATTCTTTTAAAGAGACAGAAGAACATTTTGCTCTTCTGCTTAATGCTTCAATGGCTTCTCACTGCTCTTAGGGTTTAGCCCATAGTCGTTTGCATGACCTGCAGGGCCTGCCAGCCTCTACAGTTGCCCTGGCCTCCTTTCCTCCCCTCTCATTTCAGCCCCCTTGGCCTCTCTGCTGCCCAAACCCACCAGCTTCTGCCTGTGCACAGGCTGTTCTCTCCGTCAGCAGTGTTCCTCGCCAGGGATTGCGTGAGGCTACCTTCTCATACTTCAGGCGTCAGCTCAAATGTCACCACATCACTTACTCGGGGAATCCCTCCGGTTATCTTAAGTAAAGTAGATCCCTCCACCCCATCCAATTATGTATCACAACACTCAATCACTTCTTTTAGAGCACACACCTCAGACTGTAATTAGGTATTGATTTCCATGTTTGCTATTGGTCTCTCCCTCTAAAGTCTAAACGGTAAGCTTCGCGAGGGCAAGGACAATGTCTGTATTAATTATTGAATTTAATATTTATTGAGCACTAACTACATATCAGATACCAGGCAGTGGGATACGTGGCCGAGTCCTGGCCTTTAGGGAGCTGATGTTCTAGGGGTGGAGACAAGTAATACGCCATAGAGTAGATGCTCTGTTTAAAACCGCAATAACTTGCTTCCCTCTCACTCTCAGACTCGCTCCCATTTCTCTGGTATATCACTGTCTCATATACCAGGACATTTGCTGGTTTTGGCTGTTTATTTTTATTGTGTTTTTTTTTTTCATTGGAATATAAGCTCCATGAGGGTAGGGATTTTTGTCTGTTTTATATCTCCACTTGGACTCATAGCAATTGTTGAATAAATGAATCAGTATCCAGTATTTGTTGATTTGTTCCAGATGGAAGGCAGGTCTCAGCCCCAATTCAATTCAGGCCAGATGACCTTGATTCAGTGTTGGTGCTGCTGCATACTAATGCATAACCTTTGAAAAGTCCGGTCTCTCTGTATCTCCATGTCCTCAACTGTGTAGTCGGAATAATAGGGGTGAAGATTAAATTAGCCCACGGGGGTTAAGCACATAGAAGGTGTCTGGTCTTACAAAGTCATGGACAACTAGTTAGTGGTCATTGTACAAGGGCTTGTACGGGCCTATACTGTGTAGAAGCCCAAATAATACTTAACCTGTGTAGCCAGTGTAGGCTAGAACCAATGAGAGTTAGTGAGGGAGGTGGGCTTCGCAGAATGAAAAAGAAGTTTCTGAAAGCCAGGATTGCAAGGAGAACTAGATGACTCCACTATTATTATGGATGAAGACTTCAGCATCCCTCTGTCAGAAATGAACATTTTCAGCAGGCAGAAAATCAGTAAGGACATAATTGAACCCCACATCATCAGTCAACTGGATATAGAGGACATTTATAGACTGCTCCACCCAACAACAGCAGAACACCCATCCTTCTCAAGCTCATCTGGAATATTCACCAAGAGAGGCCACATTCTGGGCCATAAAACACACATCAGCAAATTCAGAAAAAAAGAACTCATACAATGACTGCTCTCAGACCACAATGGAATGAAACTAGAATCAATAACAGAAAGAGCTGTAAAATCCCCAAATACTTGGAGATTAAATAATACACTTCTAAACAGCACACGGAGAAGAAATCTCAAGAGAAATGTAAAACTACGTTGAAATAGCCGGGCCAGAGTGGCTAAATTGGTTGAGTGTCCTCCTGTGCACTAAAAGGTTGCTGGTTCAATTCCCGGTCGAACAATCAATGTTTCTCTCTCCCTCCCTCTCTCTAAGCATGTGCTCAGGCAAGGACTGAAAAAACAAAACCCCACTACTTGGAACTAAAAGAAAACGAAATGAAAATGAAAACACAAGTTATCAAAATTTGTGAGATTCAGTAAAAGCAGTGCTTAGAGGGAAATGTATAGCACCGAACGTATACATGAGAAAAGAAGAAAGATCTAAAATCAACCATCTAAACTTCTGCCTTAGGAAACTAGAAAAAAAGAGCAAATTAAATCCAATCAGGAAGTAGAAGAAAAATAATAAAAACGAGAGCAGAAATCAGTGAAAGGGAAAGCAGGAAATTAATAGAGAAAAACCAACCAAACCGAAAGCTGGTTCTTGGAAAAGGTGAATAACTCCACAAGCCTCTAGCCAGCCTAACTAAGAAAAGGAGGACGCAAATTACTAAGATCGGAAATGAAAGGGGGACAAAACTAGAGCCCGTGGACATTGAGAGGATAATGAACACTAGGACCAACTCTAAAAGTTAGCATTCCAAAGACCCAACCACTCACTCAAGTGAGGCGATGAGCTTCCTGTCCTTGAAGGTATGTACCAATGCGCACTTGGAGGGGCCTAGATAGAGGGGATGAAAGCAACAGACATCCCACAGGACGCAGGGTGTCTTTGGGTCTCTGTCCCTGAGAGCGCCGTGTGAGAGGTAGGCGTGGGCAACGAGCGCGCTTGCTTGCGAATGTCGGTGCCAGCTCAGTGCAGCGCAGGGTGGTGCCTAGGCCCAGCCTCCGACCTCCAGGCGCGGGGTGCAGGAGTGGGGGAGGGGCGCGCCGGGGCAGTTGGAGACCCGATCCGGCGGCAACACGGGAGGCTACCAGCAGGGGGCGCGCCGAGACCGCGGAACCCGCGGCCGGGCCTGACGTCAGCGCCCCGCTTGCTTGGGCTCCTGCTCTGGACTCGGCGCCAGTCCCGCTCCGCGCTGTGCTGCTTCGCTCCGGCTCTAGCTCGGCTCGGGCTCGGCTCGGGCTCCGGTGGCGCCCCCCGCGCCGGGCCCGGGGCAGAAGGCGGCGCACCATGGCCCGCGCCCAGGCTCTGGTCCTGGCGCTCACCTTCCAGCTCTGTGCGCCGGAGACCGAGACTCCCGCAGGTAAGTGCGCGTCGGTCGCACCGAGCTTGCCCTGCGGAGTCCACGGGCCGTGGCGTAGCTCGGAAGAAAGTGTGAGTTTTGGGTGACCGGGCGTTCGGAGCCCGCTCCCTGTGTGTGTCTGAGTGTTGGATGTGCGATCCTGTGCTCACGGGATCCTGTGCCTGCGACCGTTGTGTATCCAGGAGATGTGTGTGCAAGAAACGGTGCCGTGTGTGTTGTGTATCCACGAGTTCCTTGGGGTGAGCGTTGAGTGCATTGAGGCATTGGGTATGCGCTGAGGGTGTGTGTCCGCCAGTGTTCAGTGTTTGTGCAGCCAAGTAGGTTGTGTGTCTGTTGTGTGTGCGTCTGAGTTTGGTTGTGTGGCTGGAGTTGTATCTGCTATGTGTTGCATTTGTTTTGCATTTTGTGTGCCGCGGCGGGGAGTGCTGTTTGTTGTGTGTCTGACAATGTGTTGTGTGTTTGTGTTACGCTTGTGACCGGGAGTGCTCTGTGGATTCTGCCAGCGAGTGTGTGGTGTGTGTGCATGTGAGATCTATGTACGTGTGTGAAGGCGTGGGAACGGGCCCGGAACGTGTGTGTCCGTGCGCTGTGTGCGCGGTGGGTACGTGTGGGAGTGTCTGGGGTTGGTGGTGTGCTTCGCCCGGGGCGGGGTGGGTCCGAGTGAATGCCCAGTGTGCCGGGAATGCGTGTGCAGGAGCGTGTCTGGAGCGGATGTGAGTGTGAGTGTGAGTGTGTCCGTGCGCGCTGGCTGCGTGTCTAAGAATGTGGGGAGTGGGGTGCGCGCTTGGCCGTGGCTGAGTGTGCGCCCAGGGCCCAGGCCACCCGAGGGGGCAGCGGCAGGATGTGCGAGTGTTTGAGTGTGTGTGTGTGTGTGTGTGTGTGTGTGTGTGTGTGTGTTCCCCGTGTGTGTGCGTGTGTGGCGCGCGGGCCTGGAACAAGTTGCCGCGCGCGTCTCCACCGCCCCTCCTGGGTCGCGCCGGCCGCAGGCTCGGAAGGGAGGAAAGGGGCCCCGCGGCCGCAGACTCCGACATGTCGGGCCGTTTGTTGTTTCGCAAGTTCCGCGCGGCGCTGGCTGAGCCGAGGCGGCGCCAGGGCTGCGGGACGCCGGGCGGGTGGCGGGGAGAACTGGGCGCTGGAGGTGGACGCGAGGGCAGCGGGGAGGGCTGAGCCGGCGGGCGCTTCTGGGGGGGCCGGGCCGGGCGGGGCTGCGACGTCCCGGCGAGGGCAGGGCTTGGCTCTCCGCCCCGGACGGCTCCCCCTCCGGTTGCTCCCGGAGGCGCCGCGGACGGGGTCTCCCGGGACACTCCCTGGGTGGACCCCGCAACTTCGTGCGGCCTCCCGCCGGCCAGGCCCGCCCCGCCGTGTGCAGAGTGCCCATGTGTCTCTGTGCTGAGCGATCGCGCCGTCTCCGGGTGTGTTTCGGAGTCTGGGTCTTGCGGGGTGTGTGTGTGTGTGTGTGTGTGTGTGTGTGTGTGTGTGTACGTGTGTGTGTGTGTGTGTGTGTGTGTGTACGTGTGATCGGATATCGACGTGCATATCTGGAGCTTGTGCCTGTGGGTCCGTGTGTGCTGTGTGCTGTGGACTGTGTGTGTGTGTGTGTGTGTGTGTGTGTCCCCAACCACCCTCCCCCCCCCGCCGCCCCCAGAAAACCCCCACATCCCTCCCTGAGGCCTGGATCCCAGACTGTGTCCCCCTCCAGCGGAGTGGCTCCTGATCCATCCCCTGGGGCCCGGGTAGGCGATCCTCCTCTAGGGGCCTCAGCCTCCCCCACTCCCACCGATTGGGCGGCTCCAGTCTGGTCGCCCCCCCCCCCCCCCTTCCGGCGCCCGCAGATTGACAGGGAGACGCCCGAGCAGGGGTCAGCGCGGTGCCAGATGGATCAACACGTGCTGAGCCGCCTCTGCGCTGGTCGCTGGTCCCGAGAGAGACTACTCCCGGCCCCGGCTCCGAGAACGGGCTTCCCTGGGATCGGGTTCACGGCCCCGCTGTCCTCTCAGGCCTTTCGAACGCAGCTCTCCGGTCTCCACGGACCCTCCTGCCTCAGGCTCAGACCTGGGAACTAGCCCTGAAGCCCCGGCGCCTGGCACAGCATTAGCTTTGACCTCGCCTTGGAGACCTCCCTCTCTATCCTCCCCCCTGCCCCCTCCATGGGCCGCAGCAACTTTGTCCCCCTCCCCTGCCCTGAGATTAAACCCAAGGCGTGCAATACCTTGATTCCAAGAATCCTCAGGTGCCCCAATTCCTGCTGGCATTGTCCTGCTGACAATCCTGGAGGATTGTCAAGAATTGCAGTTTTGGGAGTGAGACCTTGAGCAAACGACTTCCATTCTTCAGGCCTCAGTTTCCGCCTATGCCTCATGGGCATCATAATAATGGACCTTGAAGATTGTAAAGTAAGGCTCTGTCTGTGAATGCCAGGGAACAAAAGATGGTTTTGAGAACTGTTACAGAGTCCCAGCGGCTGTGAATGGAAGATCAGGGGCATCGGTCAAGTTCTGCCTCCACCACTTGCTGTTTTTTTGTGACCTTGGGCAGGTCACTTCACTTCTTAGGATCCTAGCACCCTTGTAGGTATTACTTACTGTCAGAGCTTCATTCAGAAGCTCTTAGTAGAAGGCGTGAGATCAGCCCTGGCCCCCAATCTATGTACAGTCTCAACCCGGCTCCCTGAATGCCTCCTGATTCCTCCCCTCCTAAGGCTGGGTGTGTGATATCTCTGCCATGTAAATCTGGCAGTAATTTATTCCTCTGCGTGCTAGCTCATTTTGTCCTTTTGGTTGCTAGGGTTGTGGACAGCAGGAATGAGGGAGAGGCTGCCCAGTGGTTTCAGGTTGGGCAATAAAATCTTGTCTGGGCAGCTGGTCCTTGTCCCTGGGCCTGGGGGAGGGGATTCGGCAGGAAGCCCAGCGTGGCCAGAGTGGGGGGTGCTGAGCTCATGGGCAGCCTCCTGCCCTGCTCAGGTGTCAGGGAAAATCCAGGGTGGGCACCCTGCTTGCTCCAGGCATGAAATCCTTCCATGCCTTCGCCAGCTAAGCTAGATTTGCAGGGGTTACCTCGTGCCCCTTCCCCCCTCGGCCCCCATCCTTCCTCCAAGCCCTCTTCCTGCATCCTGATGCACCCTACCCTTACCCACTGTCAGGATCTCTCTCACCTGTCTCCTCTTCTCCATCCTCAGCCATCTCTCAACTGCAAAAAGGCTCCAGTCTCTTCCCTCTACCCCTCCCTCCATGGTGCCAGGGATCTCCCTACAATGAAAACTGCATGTTTGGAACCTCGGTCTGAAACCACCTGAAGGCTCGCCATTGCCTTCCGGGTTAAGTCCCTTTCCCTTGGCCTCACTGCCTGCTCTAGCCCTGCTTGCCTGTCCAGCCTCATCTCATTTTGTGCCCTATGCTCCGCCCTATGCTCTGGCCAGTCTGACCCACTTATCAGTATCCCCTACATGCCCTTTCCCTCCCTCTCCTCTCTGGGCCTTTGCACTTTCTAACTCCATCTCTTTACTTGGTGAACTCCTGCTCCTTCTTCAGGCCTCAGCTTAGACATCACATTGCCCCTGAAGTCTTCCTTGGTTATCCCTGTTCTAGGAAGGGAAGGTGGGGATTGATTGGATTTTTCCATACCATTAGTAATTATTGTGATTATTGCTTATTGGTCCATTCTCCGTTTCAGACCACGAGCTCTGTGAATTGAGTTCACCTCTGAATCCTTAGTGCCAGGCACAAGGCCTGGCTACTCATGCTGAGTAAAATATGTATGGCGTGAAAGAATGAATGAAGTCCAGTGGGTCAAAATCTGAGCTGGAGGTGCCAGATGGGGGCGCAGTGATTCCACTGAAAGTAGAGATTAACGAACTAGGTTTCCCTCCAGGAATCTAGAAAATTCTGTTGGGGGATGATATTGTGTGTGAAAAGGCCGGGTAGAGAGTGCCATCTGGGAGTTGTGAGTTGAGGAGCTTAAGTCCCTGGGAGAGAGGAAGGGAGCAGGTCTCTGCCTGCCAGCCCCTCCTCCAAGTTTCCCACATTGCCCCCCGACCTCCCTCCAACCCCACCCCCAGCAGCTGGCCAGGCCTGTCAGTGGACAGGCCTTTGTGCTGGAGGCCTGGCAGTTGGTGAGAGGCATTGAGTCCCAACCGTCAGTGAGACTGTCTGGGGAAGAGGCGGGGAGGGCCCTGTCTCAGGAAGGGGAGACTCTTCCTCAGGTCTCAGCTTCTGTCCTGGCTCCTTGTGAGCCTGAGGGAGGCGAGGAGAGCTGCTCCCTGTGGTGACCCCTGCAGGTGGGGTGAGGCCTGCTGAAGTGTGTGCAGGTGCGATTCTGGCATCTGGACAGTCAGAGTGGGGAGGATGTATGTGTGTGTGTATGATTGTGGTTGTATGATTGTCGCCCAGGGCACAGGACATGTGTGGCCTGTCAGGGTATCTAGCCGTCTGGTTACTCTGTGTGGCAGGCTCTGAGTGTGGAGTAGGGAGGCGACCAGCTGCTTTGGTCCTGGGGGAGCCTGATGCTAGGGTATCCGGGTATCTAAAGGTTAAATTCTTGGAGTTTGGGTGCAGAGCTGTTTGGGTGGGTTGTGTTTCAGTATGTAAGTGTGGGTCTCCTCGTGCCAGGATGTGGAGGATCAGGGTGTGCCAACATAAGGATATCCTAGCGTCTCTGTAACCGGAGGTGGGTGTATCCAGGTGTCTGGGAGTCCTCAGGCTAATGGGTGTCCAAGTGCAGGAGGGTGTTTGTGTTGTGTCCAGCTGTGGGCTGTCCAGGTGCCTGGATGTCTGGGTGGGGGGTACGAAAGTGTCTGGATATCTGAGGTTGGGGTACCCCTGTATCCAGCAATGGGCTACACATGCGTTGGACTATCCGGTGTTTGTGAGTCTGGCCATGGGGTGCCCCGTGGTCGGTGTGTCTGTTTGTATGCTTAGGTGTGTATGCCTCCAGGAAAGGGATGTGCATGTGGACCAGGAACTGGGACTGTGTCAGCTCAGCTTCTGACACCCCCTTCCCTGGGT